GGACCGGTACCGCCTGGATCTATGCGGCATTCAGGAGGTCCGGTGGACCGGCTCTGGCTCCTGCCACTATGAGGGGTGGACAGTCCTCTACTCGGGGCAGCAGACTGCCAAACAACAGGGTGTGGGTCTTCTCTTGAACAAAAGAATGAAGGGGGCGTGGGAGCGTGGCGGTGAGGTGTGGGAAGCTGTAAGCCCCAGGCTACTTTGGGCTCGCCTTCCCATCAACCGGAGGCGAGGAATGGTGGTCGTGGTTACTTATGCCCCCACCGAAGATGAACATCCGTGGAGGGATGCAGGCAAAGCCGATGAGTCAGATGCCTTCTATGACCTCCTGTCACAGGTGCTGGCTAAAGTGGCCCCTCGGGATAGAGTCATCATGTTGGGTGACTTCAATGCCCGAGTTGGTCATGATACTGGCACCTGGTCTGGAGTGATTGGAGGGCATGGGCCAGATCAGCTCAATAACAACGGTAGGAGGCTGCTAGATTTTTGTGCAGCCCATGGGCTTGTAATTACCAACACGCTGTTCCGGCATCGGCGCATCCACACAACATCATGGATGCATGCCGGGTCCAAGCAAGAACATCTGCTGGACTACATAGTGACGGACCAGCGAATGCAAGCCCATGTCCTTGACACCAGGACCTACCGTGGAGCTGATCTGCCCTCTGACCATCGACTAGTCATCTGTAAGATGCGCCTGCCATTCTTCCACTCCGGTGGTGGGTGTACACCCAGGACCCCATTCCAACCTAAAGTGGCCTGGTCTCAGTTATCTGATGAAAGTTGCAAGCGAGAATTTCATCATCGCTTGCGGCTGGGATTGGCATCGTCCCCGACTCCTCCTGATGTCGAGGGTAAATGGGCGAGGTTTAGGACTGTGACTCATGCAGCTGCAATGGCTGCTTTGGGTACGCGGTCCAGACCTCCCCAGACACCCTGGATGACAGAGGAGTTGTTCAGGATGGTTGAGAAAAAGCGACAGGCCCACTGTCATCGGCTACAGAATCCCACGTCAGAGAATGAGGAGGCTTACCGCAGCCTTCGCTCGGAGGTTCGGAGAGCCGTGAGGCGCTGCAAGGATGGGTGGTGGTCGCGGGTTGCTGAGGAGATGGAGTCTGCCTCAGTGGCCCGTGATCACAAATCTCTATTTAACTCCATCAAAAAAGTAACCTGCAGCGCCACACCTATTACCATCATTAGGGGAAAAAACGGTGATCCAATTTCCGACCCCCAGGAACAGGTTCGCAGATTTGCTGAGCATTTCTGTGAGGTCCTGGGGGAGGGAAAATCCCTCAGCCAGGAAAACATCGTGGCACAAAGTGAGGATGACCCTGCTGAGGCTGCGGTGCCTCAAATATTGGATGAAGTCACCCCCTGTGAGTGGCTGGCTGAGGTGCCATCTGCTGAGGAAGTATTGAAGGCGATCCGGAGTCTGAGACCAGGAAAGGCAGCGGGCAGAGATGATCTCCCAAGCGAAATGCTGAGGGAGGGTGGCGTTTGTGCACAGACTGCCCTATATGACATCATAACAACAGTCTGGACCACTGGACGGGTTCCGCAGGATTGGAAGGATGCCCTGGTGGTCCCCCTTTTTAAGAAGGGGGACCGCACAGACTGTAACAACTACAGGGGCATCTCACTCCTCAGTGTGCCGGGAAAGGTCCTGGCAAGGATTATTCAGCATCGCCTTGCCAGGCACGCTGAGGAGAGGCTTGCGGAGCCCCAATGCGGTTTCAGGAAAGGGCGGTCCTGCACAGATGCCATATTTTCTGTCCGTCTGCTACAGCAGAGGTGTAGGGAATTCCAACAAGACCTACATCTCTGCTTTATTGACCTGGTCAAGGCCTATGATACCATCAGTAGGCCTGGGCTCTGGGTCGTTCTTCGTGCTTTTGGAGTACCTGACCCTCTGCTCACGATCATTAAGGACCTTCATGATGGTGAGCGGGCCCGGGTAAAACTACGTGGCCGGGAGTCAGAGCCATTCCCTGTACACCTTGGGGTGCGACAGGGATGTCCTCCCACGTTATTTAACATCTATTTTGACCACGTAGTTCGTGAAGCCTTCAATAGCTGTACCGGGGGAATCTCCATATGGTACAGATATAATGGGAGGCTAATCGATGCCCGGGTGCGGTCAAGGGATGGCTCCCTATTGCTCAACCACGTTATGTATGCTGATGACTTGGTAATAGCTGCTCAGTCAGAGGAGGAGTTGGAGACGCTGCTGCTGAGACTGGAGCGTGCCACTAAGAGGTGGGGCCTTACCATCAGCCCCACCAAAACTAAGCACCTGCCTGGGTATTTTGTACCATCGGACACTCCACCCCCACAACTCCCAATCGGTGATGGGGCAGTTGTGGAGAGAGTGGAGAGTTTCCCATACCTGGGCAGTGTGCTTATGACTGGCTCCAGTTTAACAGCAGAGGTCTCACTCCGAATCAGTCGAGCGGCAATATCTTTTCATCGGTTGCGTAACGCTGTGTGGAAGCTACCTGGTCTGTCGCTCTGCACTAAGCTTCAGGTCTTCTCGGCCACGATCATTCCCTCCCTTCTCTACGCTTGCGAAACGTGGACCCCACCTAATGGAACATCTTCGCCGGTTAGAAACATTTAGGCTGACCTGCCTACGATCCATCCTGGGTTTAACCAGACTGGATTGTGTGAGGAGCTCACAAATCCTTGAAAGATCTGGGCAGGGTCCCATCGGTGAGCTCCTCCGGCAGGCAAGGCTGCGATGGCTGGGTCATGTAGCCCGCATGCCCAGCCACCGCATGCCGAAACAGCTTTTGTTTGGCCGGATTGAGGGGGCTAAGCGGGCGCGGCACGGGCTAGAGAAGAGATGGAGTGATGTGGTACAGGAGGACGTGGAGCTGAGTGGACTTGCCGATGACTGATACCAGCGGTGTCAAGATCGGCCTCTGTGGAGGAGGCTCGTGAAGGATGCTACTGGGCAGTTGGAGGCAGTCGCCCTCCAATAACAACGGAGGGCGGAGGAGCGACGCTCACAACAGCGAGCGGAGCGCCGGGTGGCTAAAGCACAGCAGGTTGGCACAGTAGGGGGCACAGGTGGTGCATCAGCCAGTCATCTCAGTCGACCCGTGGCACCTGGGTCTGCCCCGTGACCTCCTGCCAGCGGGCGTTCGACACTTCATGTGTCTGTGTGTGACCATGTGTGTGACTCTGTGTGTGACTCTGTGTGTGACTCTGTGTCTGTGTGTGACTCTGTGTGGCTCTGTGTGTGACTCTGTGTGTGACTCTGTGTGACTCTGTGTGTCTGTGTGTGACCATGTGTGTGACTCTGTGTGTGACTCTGTGTGTGACTCTGTGTCTGTGTGTGACTCTGTGTGACTCTGTGTGTGACTCTGTGTGTGACTCTGTGTGTGACTCTGTGTGACTCTGTGTGTGACTCTGTGTGACTCTGTGTGTGACTCTGTGTGACTCTGTGTGTCTGTGTGTGACCATGTGTGTGACTCTGTGTGTGACTCTGTGTGTGACTCTGTGTCTGTGTGTGACTCTGTGTGACTCTGTGTGTGACTCTGTGTGTGACTCTGTGTGTGACTCTGTGTGACTCTGTGTGTGACTCTGTGTGACTCTGTGTGTGACTCTGTGTGACTCTGTGTGTCTGTGTGTGACTCTGTGTGTGTGTGTGTGTGACTCTGTGTGTGTGTGACTCTGTGTGTCTGTGTGTGTCGCCGTGTGTCCACCCCCCACAGACGCGAGTGGCCGCGTGTCCCTGTGGACGGTGTCCGTGCGCTCGCCCTGCCCGCTGGCGCGTGAGCCCACGCACACTCTGTGTGTGTCGCCGTGTGTCTGTGTGACTCTGTGTGACTCTGTGTGTGTGTGACTCTGTGTGTGTGTGTCGCCGTGTGTCTGTGTGACTCTGTGTGTGTGTGTGACTCTGTGTGTCTGTGTGTGTCGCCGTGTGTCTGTGTGACTCTGTGTGTGTGACTCTGTGTGTGACTCTGTGTGTGTGTGACTCTGTGTGACTCTGTGTGTCTGTGTGTGTGTGTGTCTGTGTGTGTGTGACTCTGTGTGTGTGTGTGACTCTGTGTGTGTGTGACTCTGTGTGTGTGTGACTCTGTGTGTGTGTGTGTGTGTGACTCTGTGTGTCTGTGTGTGTGTGACTCTGTGTGTCTGTGTCTGTGTGACTCTGTGTGACTCTGTGTGTGTGTGACTCTGTGTGTGTGTGACTCTGTGTGTGTGTGACTCTGTGTGACTCTGTGTGTCTGTGTCTGTGTGTGTCGCCGTGTGTCCACCCCCCACAGACGCGAGTGGCCGCGTGTCCCTGTGGACGGTGTCCGTGCGCTCGCCCTGCCCGCTGCCGCATGAGCCCACGCACACTCTGTGTGTGTGTGACTCTGTGTGTGTGTGTGACTCTGTGTGTGTGTGACTCTGTGTGTCTGTGTGACTCTGTGTGTGTGTGACTCTGTGTGTCTGTGTGTGACTCTGTGTGTGTGACTCTGTGTGTCTGTGTGACTCTGTGTGTGTGACTCTGTGTGTCTGTGTGACTCTGTGTGTCTGTGTGTGTGACTCTGTGTGTGACTCTGTGTGGCTCTGTGTGTGTGTGACTCTGTGTGTGTGTGTGTGTGACTCTGTGTGTCTGTGTGTGTCGCCGTGTGTCTGTGTGTCTGTGTGTGTGTGACTCTGTGTGTCTGTGTGTGTGTGACTCTGTGTGTCTGTGTGTGTGTGACTCTGTGTGTCTGTTTCTGTGTGACTCTGTGTGACTCTGTGTGTGTGTGACTCTGTGTGTGTGTGACTCTGTGTGTGTGTGACTCTGTGTGACTCTCTGTGTGTCGCCGTGTGTCCACCCCCCACAGACGCGAGTGGCCGCGTGTCCCTGTGGACGGTGTCCGTGCGCTCGCCCTGCCCGCTGGCGCGTGAGCCCACGCACACTCTGTGTGTGTGTGACTCTGTGTGTGTGTGACTCTGTGTGTCTGTGTGTGTGTGACTCTGTGTGTCTGTGTCTGTGTGACTCTGTGTGACTCTGTGTGTGTGTGACTCTGTGTGTGACTCTGTGTGACTCTGTGTGTGTGTGTGTGTCGCCGTGTGTCCACCCCCCACAGACGCGAGTGGCCGCGTGTCCCTGTGGACGGTGTCCGTGCGCTCGCCCTGCCCGCTGGCGCGTGAGCCCACGCACACTCTGTGTGCCTCAGCCTCCTCCTCGGGCGCGTGGCTCACCACCGGCGGTGGAGACGGGGCGCTGCGCGTCTACGACGTCAAGACACGCTCGCTCACGCTCACCTGCTCGCCCAGGTGAGGGCGTGAGTGGCTCACCCACGCTCACCCACGCTCGCCCACGCTCACCCACGCTCACCTGCTCGCCCAGGTGAGGGCGTGAGTGGGTCACCCACGCTCACCCACGCTCGCCCAGGTGAGGGCGTGAGTGGCTCACCCACGCTCACCCAGGTGAGGGCGTGAGTGGGTCACCCACGCTCACCCACGCTCGCCCAGGTGAGGGCGTGAGTGGCTCACCCACGCTCACCCAGGTGAGGGCGTGAGTGGCTCACCCACGCTCACCCACGCTCGCCCAGGTGAGGGCGTGAGTGGGTCACCCACGCTCACCCAGGTGAGGGCGTGAGTGGGTCACCCACGCTCACCCACGCTCGCCCACGCTCACCCAGGTGAGGGCGTGAGTGGCTCACCCACGCTCACCCAGGTGAGGGCGTGAGTGGGTCACCCACGCTCACCCACGCTCACCCAGGTGAGGGCGTGAGTGGGTCACCCACGCTCACCCACGCTCACCTGCTCGCCCAGGTGAGGGCGTGAGTGGGTCACCCACGCTCACCCACGCTCGCCCAGGTGAGGGGTGCTTGTGGATCTACGGTGCAGTGTTGAGTCTATGGTGCAGTGTTGAGTCTATGGTGCAGTGTTGAGTCTATGGTGCAGTGTTGAGTCTATGGTGCAGTGTTGAGTCTATGGTGCAGTGTTGAGTCTATGGTGCAGTGTTGAGTCTATGGTGCAGTGTTGAGTCTGTGGTGCAGTGTTGAGTCTATGGGGCAGTGCTGAGTCTGTGGTGCAGTGTTGAGTCTATGGTGCAGTGTTGAGTCTGTGGTGCAGTGTTGAGTCTGTGGTGCAGTGTTGAGTCTGTGGTGCAGTGTTGAGTCTGTGGTGCAGTGTTGAGTCTATGGTGCAGTGTTGAGTCTATGGTGCAGTGCTGAGTCTATGGTGCAGTGTTGAGTCTGTGGTGCAGTGTTGAGTCTATGGGGCAGTGATGAGTCTATGGTGCAGTGTTGAGTCTATGGTGCAGTGTTGAGTCTGTGGTGCAGTGTTGAGTCTGTGGTGCAGTGTTGAGTCTGTGGTGCAGTGTTGAGTCTATGGTGCAGTGTTGAGTCTATGGTGCAGTGCTGAGTCTATGGTGCAGTGTTGAGTCTGTGGTGCAGTGTTGAGTCTGTGGTGCAGTGTTGAGTCTATGGGGCAGTGATGAGTCTATGGTGCAGTGTTGAGTCTATGGTGCAGTGTTGAGTCTGTGGTGCAGTGTTGAGTCTATGGGGCAGTGTTGAGTCTATGGTGCAGTGTTGAGTCTATGGTGCAGTGTTGAGTCTATGGGCAGTGTTGAGTCTATGGGGCAGTGTTGAGTCTATGGTGCAATGTTGAGTCTGTGGTGCAGTGTTGAGTCTGTGGTGCAGTGTTGAGTCTATGGTGCAGTGTTGAGTCTTCGGTGCAGTGTTGAGTCTATGGTGCAGTGTTGAGTCTATGGTGCAATGTTGAGTCTGTGGTGCAGTGTTGAGTCTGTGGTGCAGTGCTGAGTCTATGGTGCAGTGTTGAGTCTGTGGTGCAGTGTTGAGTCTGTGGTGCAGTGTTGAGTCTATGGTGCAGTTTTGAGTCTATGGTGCAGTTTTGAGTCTTCGGTGCAGTGTTGAGTCTATGGTGCAGTGTTGAGTCTATGGTGCAGTGTTGAGTCTATGGTGCAATGTTGAGTCTGTGGTGCAGTGTTGAGTCTGCGGTGCAGTGTTGAGTCTATGGTGCAATGTTGAGTCTGTGGTGCAGTGTTGAGTCTATGGTGCAGTGTTGAGTCTATGGTGCAGTGTTGAGTCTGTGGTGCAGTGTTGAGTCTGTGGTGCAGTGTTGAGTCTATGGTGCAGTTTTGAGTCTATGGTGCAGTGTTGAGTCTATGGTGCAGTTTTGAGTCTATGGTGCAGTTTTGAGTCTTCGGTGCAGTGCTGAGTCTATGGTGCAGTGTTGAGTCTATGGTGCAGTGTTGAGTCTATGGTGCAATGTTGAGTCTGTGGTGCAGTGTTGAGTCTGCGGTGCAGTGTTGAGTCTATGGTGCAATGTTGAGTCTGTGGTGCAGTGTTGAGTCTATGGTGCAGTGTTGAGTCTTTGGTGCAGTGTTGAGTCTGTGGTGCAGTGTTGAGTCTGTGGTGCAGTGTTGAGTCTATGGTGCAGTGTTGAGTCTATGGTGCAGTGTTGAGTCTGTGGTGCAGTGTTGAGTCTGTGGTGCAGTGTTGAGTCTATGGTGCAGTGTTGAGTCTATGGTGCAGTGTTGAGTCTATGGTGCAGTGCTGAGTCTGTGGTGCAGTGTTGAGTCTGTGGTGCAGTGTGGAGTCTGTGGTGCAGTGTTGAGTCTGTGTTGCAGTGTTGAGTCTGTGGTGCAGTGTTGAGTCTGCGGTGCAGTGTTGAGTCTATGGTGCAGTGCTGAGTCTGTGGTGCAGTGTTGAGTCTGTGGTGCAGTGTTGAGTCTGTGGTGCAGTGTTGAGTCTATGGTGCAGTGTTGAGTCTATGGTGCAGTGCTGAGTCTATGGTGCAGTGTTGAGTCTGTGGTGCAGTGTTGAGTCTATGGGGCAGTGATGAGTCTATGGTGCAGTGTTGAGTCTATGGTGCAGTGTTGAGTCTGTGGTGCAGTGTTGAGTCTGTGGTGCAGTGTTGAGTCTGTGGTGCAGTGTTGAGTCTATGGTGCAGTGTTGAGTCTATGGTGCAGTGCTGAGTCTATGGTGCAGTGTTGAGTCTGCGGTGCAGTGTTGAGTCTATGGTGCAGTGTTGAGTCTATGGTGCAGTGCTGAGTCTATGGTGCAGTGTTGAGTCTGTGGTGCAGTGTTGAGTCTATGGGGCAGTGATGAGTCTATGGTGCAGTGTTGAGTCTATGGTGCAGTGTTGAGTCTGTGGTGCAGTGTTGAGTCTATGGGGCAGTGTTGAGTCTATGGTGCAGTGTTGAGTCTATGGTGCAGTGTTGAGTCTATGGGCAGTGTTGAGTCTATGGGGCAGTGTTGAGTCTATGGTGCAATGTTGAGTCTGTGGTGCAGTGTTGAGTCTGTGGTGCAGTGTTGAGTCTATGGTGCAGTGTTGAGTCTTCGGTGCAGTGTTGAGTCTATGGTGCAGTGTTGAGTCTATGGTGCAATGTTGAGTCTGTGGTGCAGTGTTGAGTCTGTGGTGCAGTGCTGAGTCTATGGTGCAGTGTTGAGTCTATGGTGCAGTGTTGAGTCTGTGGTGCAGTGTTGAGTCTATGGTGCAGTTTTGAGTCTATGGTGCAGTTTTGAGTCTTCGGTGCAGTGTTGAGTCTATGGTGCAGTGTTGAGTCTATGGTGCAGTGTTGAGTCTATGGTGCAATGTTGAGTCTGTGGTGCAGTGTTGAGTCTGCGGTGCAGTGTTGAGTCTATGGTGCAATGTTGAGTCTGTGGTGCAGTGTTGAGTCTATGGTGCAGTGTTGAGTCTTCGGTGCAGTGTTGAGTCTGTGGTGCAGTGTTGAGTCTGTGGTGCAGTGTTGAGTCTATGGTGCAGTGTTGAGTCTATGGTGCAGTGTTGAGTCTGTGGTGCAGTGTTGAGTCTGTGGTGCAGTGTTGAGTCTATGGTGCAGTTTTGAGTCTATGGTGCAGTGTTGAGTCTATGGTGCAGTTTTGAGTCTATGGTGCAGTTTTGAGTCTTCGGTGCAGTGTTGAGTCTATGGTGCAGTGTTGAGTCTATGGTGCAGTGTTGAGTCTATGGTGCAGTGTTGAGTCTGTGGTGCAGTGTTGAGTCTGCGGTGCAGTGTTGAGTCTATGGTGCAATGTTGAGTCTGTGGTGCAGTGTTGAGTCTATGGTGCAGTGTTGAGTCTTCGGTGCAGTGTTGAGTCTGTGGTGCAGTGTTGAGTCTGTGGTGCAGTGTTGAGTCTATGGTGCAGTGTTGAGTCTATGGTGCAGTGTTGAGTCTGTGGTGCAGTGTTGAGTCTATGGTGCAGTGTTGAGTCTATGGTGCAGTGCTGAGTCTGTGGTGCAGTGTTGAGTCTGTGGTGCAGTGTTGAGTCTATGGTGCAGTGTTGAGTCTATGGTGCAGTGTTGAGTCTATGGTGCAGTGCTGAGTCTGTGGTGCAGTGTTGAGTCTGTGGTGCAGTGTGGAGTCTGTGGGGCAGTGTTGAGTCTGTGTTGCAGTGTTGAGTCTGTGGTGCAGTGTTGAGTCTGCGGTGCAGTGTTGAGTCTATGGTGCAGTGCTGAGTCTGTGGTGCAGTGTTGAGTCTATGGTGCAGTGTTGAGTCTGTGGTGAAGTGTTGAGTCTATGGTGCAGTGTTGAGTCTATGGTGCAGTGCTGAGTCTATGGTGCAGTGTTGAGTCTGCGGTGCAGTGTTGAGTCTATGGTGCAGGGCTGAGTCTGTGGTGCAGTGTTGAGTCTATGGTGCAGTGTTGAGTCTGTGGTGAAGTGTTGAGTCTATGGTGCAGTGTTGAGTCTATGGTGCAGTGCTGAGTCTGTGGTGCAGTGTTGAGTCTATGGTGCAGTGTTGAGTCTGTGGTGCAGTGTTGAGTCTATGGTGCAGTGCTGAGTCTGTGGTGCAGTGTTGAGTCTATGGTGCAGTGTTGAGTCTGTGGTGCAGTGTTGAGACTATGGTGCAGTGTTGAGTCTATGGTGCAGTGTTGAGTCTATGGTGCAGTGTTGAGTCTATGGTGCAGTTCTGAGTCTATGGTGCAGTGTTGAGTCTGCGGTGCAGTGTTGAGTCTATGGTGCAGTGTTGAGTCTGTGGTGCAGTGTTGAGTCTATGGGCAGTGTTGAGTCTATGGTGCAGTGTTGAGTCTATGGTGCAGTGTTGAGTCTATGGTGCAGTGTTGAGTCTATGGTGCAGTGCTGAGTCTGTGGTGCAGTGTTGAGTCTGCGGTGCAGTGTTGAGTCTATGGTGCAGTGTTGAGTCTACGGTGCAGTGTTGAGTCTACGGTGCAGTGTTGAGTCTGTGGTGCAGTGTTGAGTCTGTGGTGCAGTGTTGAGTCTGTGGTGCAGTGTTGAGTCTGTGGTGCAGTGTTGAGTCTATGGTGCAGTGTTGAGTCTGTGGTGCAGTGTTGAGTCTATGGTGCAATGTTGAGTCTGTGGTGCAGTGTTGAGTCTATGGTGCAGTGTTCAGTCTTCGGTGCAGTGTTGAGTCTGTGGTGCAGTGTTGAGTCTATGGTGCAGTGTTGAGTCTATGGTGCAGTGCTGAGTCTGTGGTGCAGTGTTGAGTCTGTGGTGCAGTGTTGAGTCTATGGTGCAGTGTTGATTCTGTGGTGCAGTGTTGAGTCTATGGTGAAGTGTTGAGTCTACGGGGCAGTGTTGAGTCTATGGTGCAGTTTTGAGTCTATGGTGCAGTTTTGAGTCTATGGTGCAATGTTGAGTCTGTGGTGCAGTGTTGAGTCTGTGGTGCAGTGCTGAGTCTATGGTGCAGTGTTGAGTCTATGGTGCAATGTTGAGTCTGTGGTGCAGTGTTGAGTCTGTGGTGCAGTGCTGAGTCTATGGTGCAGTGTTGAGTCTGTGGTGCAGTGTTGAGTCTGTGGTGCAGTGTTGAGTCTATGGTGCAGTTTTGAGTCTATGGTGCAGTTTTGAGTCTTCGGTGCAGTGTTGAGTCTATGGTGCAGTGTTGAGTCTATGGTGCAGTGTTGAGTCTATGGTGCAATGTTGAGTCTGTGGTGCAGTGTTGAGTCTGCGGTGCAGTGTTGAGTCTATGGTGCAATGTTGAGTCTGTGGTGCACTGTTGAGTCTATGGTGCAGTGTTGAGTCTTCGGTGCAGTGTTGAGTCTGTGGTGCAGTGTTGAGTCTGTGGTGCAGTGTTGAGTCTATGGTGCAGTGTTGAGTCTATGGTGCAGTGTTGAGTCTGTGGTGCAGTGTTGAGTCTGTGGTGCAGTGTTGAGTCTATGGTGCAGTTTTGAGTTTATGGTGCAGTGTTGAGTCTATGGTGCAGTTTTGAGTCTATGGTGCAGTTTTGAGTCTTCGGTGCAGTGTTGAGTCTATGGTGCAGTGTTGAGTCTATGGTGCAGTGTTGAGTCTATGGTGCAATGTTGAGTCTGTGGTGCAGTGTTGAGTCTGCGGTGCAGTGTTGAGTCTGCGGTGCAGTGTTGAGTCTATGGTGCAATGTTGAGTCTGTGGTGCAGTGTTGAGTCTATGGTGCAGTGTTGAGTCTTCGGTGCAGTGTTGAGTCTGTGGTGCAGTGTTGAGTCTGTGGTGCAGTGTTGAGTCTATGGTGCAGTGTTGAGTCTATGGTGCAGTGTTGAGTCTGTGGTGCAGTGTTGAGTCTATGGTGCAGTGTTGAGTCTATGGTGCAGTGCTGAGTCTGTGGTGCAGTGTTGATTCTGTGGTGCAGTGTTGAGTCTATGGTGCAGTGTTGAGTCTATGGTGCAGTGTTGAGTCTATGGTGCAGTGCTGAGTCTGTGGTGCAGTGTTGAGTCTGTGGTGCAGTGTGGAGTCTGTGGTGCAGTGTTGAGTCTGTGTTGCAGTGTTGAGTCTGTGGTGCAGTGTTGAGTCTGGGGTGCAGTGTTGAGTCTATGGTGCAGTGCTGAGTCTGTGGTGCAGTGTTGAGTCTATGGTGCAGTGTTGAGTCTGTGGTGAAGTGTTGAGTCTATGGTGCAGTGTTGAGTCTATGGTGCAGTGCTGAGTCTATGGTGCAGTGTTGAGTCTGCGGTGCAGTGTTGAGTCTATGGTGCAGGGCTGAGTCTGTGGTGCAGTGTTGAGTCTATGGTGCAGTGTTGAGTCTGTGGTGAAGTGTTGAGTCTATGGTGCAGTGTTGAGTCTATGGTGCAATGTTGAGTCTGTGGTGCAGTGTTGAGTCTGTGGTGCAGTGTTGAGTCTGTGGTGCAGTGTTGAGTCTATGGTGCAGTGTTGAGTCTATGGTGCAGTGTTGAGTCTATTGTGCAGTGTTGAGTCTATGGTGCCGTGTTGAGTCTGTGGTGCAGTGTTGAGTCTATGGTGCAGTGTTGAGTCTGTGGTGCAGTGCTGAGTCTGTGGTGCAGTGTTGAGTCTATGGTGCAGTGCTGAGTCTGTGGTGCAGTGTTGAGTCTGTGGTGCAGTGTTGAGTCTGTGGTGCAGTGTTGAGTCTATGGTGCAGTGTTGAGTCTGTGGTGCAGTGTTGAGTCTATGGTGCAGTGTTGAGTCTATGGTGCAGTGTTGAGTCTGTGGTGCCGTGTTGAGTCTGTGGTGCAGTGTTGAGTCTATGGTGCAGTGTTGAGTCTATGGCGCAGTGCTGAGTCTGTGGTGCAGTGTTGAGTCTATGGTGCAGTGTTGATTCTGTGGTGCAGTGTTGAGTCTATGGTGAAGTGTTGAGTCTACGGGGCAGTGTTGAGTCTGTGGTGCAGTGTTGAGTCTGTGGTGCAGTGTTGAGTCTATGGTGCAGTGTTGAGTCTATGGTGCAGTGTTGAGTCTATGGTGCAGTTCTGAGTCTATGGTGCAATGTTGAGTCTGTGGGGCAGTGTTGAGTCTATGGTGCAGTGTTGAGTCTATGGTGCAGTGTTGAGTCTGGTGCAGTGCTGAGTCTGTGGTGCAGTGTTGAGTCTGTGGGGCAGTGTTGAGTCTATGGTGCAATGTTGAGTCTACTAGCACTGCTAGTCTACTGCTAGTCTAGTGCTAGTCTACTGCTAGTCTACTGCTAGTCTAGTGCTAGTCTAGTGCTAGTCTACTGCTGGTCTACTGCTAGTCTAGTGCTAGTCTAGTGCTAGTCTAGTGCTAGTCTACTGCTAGTCTAGTGCTAGTCTAGTGCTAGTCTAGTGCTAGTGCTAGTCTACTGCTAGTCTAGTGCTAGTCTACTGCTAGTCTAGTGCTACTGCTAGTCTAGTGCTAGTCTACTGCTAGTCTAGTGCTAGTCTACTGCTAGTCTAGTGCTAGTCTATTGCTAATCTAGTGCTAGTGCTAGTCTAGTGCTAGTCTAGTGCTAGTCTACTTCTAGTCTACTGCTAGTCTACTGCTAGTCTAGTGCTAGCCTACTGCTAGTCTACTGCTAGTCTACTGCTAGTGCTAGTCTACTGCTAGTGCTAGTCTAGTGCTAGTCTAGTGCTAGTCTACTGCTAGTCTAGTGCTAGCCTACTGCTAGTCTACTGCTAGTCTACTGCTAGCCTAGTGCTAGTCTAGTGCTAGTCTAGTGCTAGTCTAGTGCTAGTATAGTGCTAGTCTAGTGCTAGTCTACTGCTAGTGCTAGTCTAGTGCTAGTCTACTGCTAGTCTAGTGCTAGTCTAGTGCTAGTCTACTGCTAGTCTAGTGCTAGTCTAGTGCTAGTCTAGTGCTAGTGCTAGTCTAGTGCTAGTCTAGTGCTAGTCTAGTGCTAGTCTACTTCTGGTCTAGTGCTAGTCTAGTGCTAGTCTAGTGCTAGTCTAGTGCTAGTCTATGCTGACTGCACTAATGACCGGTTGGGGTCCTCAGCGCCTCGTGCCACCTCATGGACGGGCACCGCTCGCGAGTCTTTGCCGTGCAGTGGCACCCAGAGTCTGAGAACGTCTTCCTGTCCGGCGGCTGGGACAATACCGTGCAGGTGGGTGGGTGGGTGAGTGGGTGGGTGGGTGAGTGGGTGGGTGAGTGAGTGGGTGGGTGAGTGGGTGGGTGGGTGAGTGGGTGAGTGGGTGGGTGGGTGAGTGGGTGGGTGGGTGGGTGAGTGGGTGGGTGAGTGAGTGAGTGGGTGGGTGGGTGAGTGGGTGGGTGGGTGAGTGGGTGGGTGGGTGGGTGAGTGGGTGAGTGAGTGAGTGAGTGGGTGGGTGAGTGAGTGAGTGGGTGAGTGGGTGAGTGAGTGGGTGGGTGGGTGGGTGAGTGGGTGGGTGAGTGAGTGGGTGGGTGAGTGAGTGGGTGGGTGGGTGAGTGGGTGGGTGAGTGAGTGAGTGGGTGGGTGAGTGGGTGAGTGGGTGAGTGGGTGGGTGAGTGGGTGGGTGAGTGAGTGGGTGGGTGGGTGAGTGGGTGGGTGAGTGAGTGAGTGGGTGGGTGAGTGGGTGGGTGAGTGAGTGGGTGAGTGAGTGGGTGGGTGGGTGGGTGAGTGAGTGAGTGGGTGAGTGGGTGGGTGGGTGAGTGGGTGGGTGAGTGAGTGGGTGAGTGGGTGGGTGAGTGGGTGAGTGAGTGAGTGGGTGAGTGAGTGGGTGGGTGGGTGAGTGGGTGGGTGAGTGAGTGGGTGAGTGGGTGAGTGAGTGAGTGGGTGGGTGGGTGAGTGGGTGGGTGGGTGAGTGGGTGGGTGGGTGGGTGAGTGGGTGGGTGGGTGGGTGAGTGGGTGGGTGAGTGGGTGGGTGGGTGAGTGGGTGGGTGATTGGGTGGGTGGGTGAGTGGATGAGTGGGTGGGTGGGTGAGTGGGTGGGTGAGTGAGTGGGTGAGTGGGTGGGTGAGTGGGTGGGTGGGTGGGTGGGTGAGTGGGTGGGTGAGTGGGTGAGTGAGTGAGTGGGTGGGTGGGTGAGTGAGTGGGTGAGTGAGTGGGTGGGTGGGTGGGTGAGTGAGTGGGTGAGTGAGTGAGTGGGTGGGTGGGTGAGTGGGGTGGGTGAGTGAGTGGGTGAGTGGATGGGTGGGTGAGTGGGTGGGTGAGTGGGTGGGTGGGTGAGTGGGTGGGTGGGTGGGTGGGTGAGTGGGTGGGTGAGTGGGTGAGTGGGTGAGTGAGTGGGTGGGTGATTGGGTGGGTGGGTGAGTGGGGTGGGTGAGTGAGTGGGTGATTGGGTGAGTGGGTGGGTGGGTGGGTGAGTGGGGTGGGTGAGTGAGTGGGTGATTGGGTGGGTGAGTGGGTGGGTGGGTGAGTGGGTGAGTGGGTGGGTGGGTGAGTGAGTGAGTGAGTGCGTGAGTGGGTGGGTGATTGGGTGGGTGAGTGGGTGAGTGGGTGAGTGGGTGGGTGGGTGAGTGGGTGAGTGGGTGGGTGGGTGAGTGGGTGAGTGGGTGAGTGGGTGGGTGATTGGGTGGGTGAGTGGGTGAGTGGGTGGGTGATTGGGTGGGTGAGTGGGTGAGTGGGTGGGTGGGTGAGTGGGTGAGTGGGTGGGTGATTGGGTGGGTGAGTGGGTGAGTGGGTGGGTGAGTGAGTGAGTGGGTGGGTGAGTGGGTGGGTGAGTGGGTGGGTGATTGGGTGGGTGGGTGAGTGGGTGGGTGATTGGGTGAGTGGGTGGGTGGGTGAGTGGGTGAGTGGGTGGGTGAGTGAGTGGGTGAGTGGGTGAGTGAGTGGGTGAGTGGGTGGGTGAGTGGGGTGGGTGAGTGAGTGGGTGGGTGAGTGGGGTGGGTGAGTGGGTGAGTGGGTGGGTGGGTGAGTGAGTGGGTGAGTGGGTGGGTGGGTGGGTGAGTGGGGTGAGTGAGTGGGTGAGTGGGTGAGTGAGTGGGTGAGTGGGTGGTGAGTGAGTGAGTGGGTGAGTGGGTGGGTGATTGGGTGGGTGGGTGAATGGGGTGGGTGAGTGAGTGGGTGATTGGGTGGGTGAGTGGGTGAGTGGGTGGGTGGGTGAGTGAGTGTGTGGGTGAGTGGGTGAGTGGGTGGGTGTTTGGGTGGGTGAGTGGGTGAGTGGGTGAGTGGGTGGGTGAGTGAGTGGGTGTGTGGTTGGGTGGGTGAGTGGGTGAGTGGGTGAGTGGGTGGGTGAGTGAGTGAGTGGGTGAGTGGGTGGGTGATTGGGTGAGTGGGTGAGTGGGTGAGTGAGTGAGTGAGTGGGTGAGTGGGTGGGTGAGTGAGTGAGTGAGTGGGTGATTGGGTGGGTGGGTGAGTGGGTGAGTGAGTGGGTGAGTGAGTGGGTGAGTGGGTGAGTGGGTGGGTGATTGGGTGGGTGGGTGAGTGGGGTGGGTGAGTGAGTGGGTGATTGGGTGGGTGATTGGGTGGGTGGGTGGATGAGTGGGTGGGTGGGTGGATGAGTGGGTGGGTGAGTGAGTGAGTGAGAGGGTGAGTGGGTGAGTGAGTGGATGAGTGGGTGAGTGGATGAGTGGGTGAGTGGGTGAGTGGGTGGGTGAGTGAGTGGGTGAGTGGTTGGGTGGGTGAGTGGGTGGGTGGGTGAGTGAGTGAGTGAGTGGGTGAGTGCGTGGGTGATTGGGTGAGTGGGTGAGTGGGTGAGTGGGTGGGTGGGTGGGTGAGTGGGGTGAGTGAGTGGGTGAGTGGGTGAGTGAGTGGGTGAGTGGGTGGTGAGTGAGTGAGTGGGTGAGTGGGTGGGTGATTGGGTGGGTGGGTGAGTGGGGTGGGTGAGTGAGTGGGTGATTGGGTGGGTGAGTGGGTGAGTGGGTGGGTGGGTGAGTGAGTGAGTGGGTGAGTGGGTGAGTGGGTGGGTGATTGGGTGGGTGAGTGGGTGAGTGGGTGAGTGGGTGGGTGAGTGAGTGGGTGAGTGGTTGGGTGGGTGAGTGGGTGAGTGGGTGAGTGGGTGGGTGAGTGAGTGAGTGGGTGAGTGGGTGGGTGATTGGGTGAGTGGGTGAGTGGGTGAGTGAGTGAGTGGGTGGGTGATTGGGTGGGTGAGTGAGTGAGTGAGTGGGTGATTGGGTGGGTGGGTGAGTGGGTGAGTGAGTGGGTGAGTGAGTGGGTGAGTGGGTGAGTGGGTGGGTGATTGGGTGGGTGGGTGAGTGGGGTGGGTGAGTGAGTGGGTGATTGGGTGGGTGATTGGGTGGGTGGGTGGGTGGATGAGTGGGTGGGTGGGTGGATGAGTGGGTGGGTGAGTGAGTGAGTGAGAGGGTGAGTGGGTGAGTGAGTGGATGAGTGGGTGAGTGGATGAGTGGGTGAGTGGGTGAGTGGGTGGATGAGTGAGTGGGTGAGTGGTTGGGTGGGTGAGTGGGTGGGTGGGTGAGTGAGTGAGTGAGTGGGTGAGTGGGTGGGTGATTGGGTGAGTGGGTGAGTGGGTGAGTGAGTGGGTGAGTGAGTGGGTGGGTGATTGGGTGGGTGAGTGGGTGAGTGAGTGGGTGATTGGGTGGGTGGGTGAGTGAGTGGGTGAGTGAGTGGGTGAGTGGGTGGGTGAGTGGGTGAGTGGGTGGGTGGGTGAGTGAGTGAGTGAGTGGGTGAGTGGGTGGGTGATTGGGTGGGTGAGTGGGTGGGTGAGTGGGTGAGTGGGTGAATGGGTGGGTGGGTGGGTGAGTGAGTGGGTGAGTGATTGGGTGGGTGAGTGGGTGAGTGGGTGGGTGGGTGAGTGAGTGAGTGGGTGAGTGGGTGGGTGATTGGGTGAGTGGGTGAGTGGGTGAGTGAGTGGGTGGGTGATTGGGTGGGTGAGTGGGTGAGTGAGTGGGTGATTGGGTGGGTGGGTGGGTGAGTGGGTGAGTGGGTGGGTGATTGGGTGGGTGAGTGGGTGAGTGAGTGGGTGATTGGGTGGGTGGGTGGGTGAGTGCGTGGGTGGGTGAGTGAGTTAGTGGGTGAGTGGGTGGGTGAGTGGGTGAGTGGGTGGGTGGGTGGGTGAGTGAGTGGGTGAGTGGGTGAGTGGGTGAGTGAGTGGATGGGTAAGTGGGTGAGTGGGTGGATGGGTGGGTGAGTGGGTGAGTGGGTGGGTGGATGAGTGGGTGGGTGGGTGGATGAGTGGGTGGGTGGATGAGTGGGTGGGTGGATTAGTGGGTGGGTGAGTGAGTGAGTGAGAGGGTGAGTGGGTGAGTGAGTGGATGAGTGGGTGAGTGGGTGAGTGGATGAGTGGGTGAGTGGGTGGGTGAGTGGGTGGGTGAGTGGATGGATGAGTGGATGAGTGGGTGGGTTGGTGGATGAGTGGGTGGGTGGGTGAGTGGGTGGGTGGGTGAGTGAGTGAGTGAGTGGGTGAGTGGGTGGGTGATTGGGTGAGTGGGTGAGTGGGTGAGTGAGTGGGTGAGTGAGTGGGTGGGTGATTGGGTGGGTGAGTGGGTGAGTGAGTGGGTGATTGGGTGGGTGGGTGGGTGAGTGGGTGAGTGAGTGGGTGGGTGAGTGGGTGAGTGGGTGGGTGGGTGAGTGAGTGAGTGGGTGAGTGGGTGGGTGATTGCGTGGGTGAGTGGGTGGGTGAGTGGGTGAGTGGGTGAATGGGTGGGTGGGTGGGTGAGTGAGTGGGTGAGTGATTGGGTGGGTGAGTGGGTGAGTGGGTGGGTGGGTGAGTGAGTGAGTGGATGAGTGGGTGGGTGATTGGGTGAGTGGGTGAGTGGGTGAGTGAGTGGGTGGGTGATTGGGTGGGTGAGTGGGTGAGTGAGTGGGTGAATGGGTGGGTGGGTGGGTGAGTGGGTGAGTGGGTGGGTGATTGGGTGGGTGAGTGGGTGAGTGAGTGGGTGATTGGGTGGGTGGGTGGGTGAGTGGGTGGGTGAGTGAGTGAGTGAGTGGATGAGTGGGTGGGTGAGTGGGTGAGTGGGTGGGTGGGTGGGTGAGTGAGTGGGTGAGTGGGTGAGTGAGTGGATGGGTAAGTGGGTGAGTGGGTGGATGGGTGGGTGAGTGGGTGAGTGGGTGAGTGGGTGGGTGGATGAGTGGGTGGGTGGATGAGTGGGTGGGTGGGTGGATGAGTGGGTGGGTAGGTGGATTAGTGGGTGGGTGAGTGAGTGAGTGAGTGGGTGAGTGGATGAGTGGGTGAGTGGGTGAGTGGGTGGGTGAGTGGGTGGGTGAGTGGATGGATGAGTGGATGAGTGGGTGGGTGGGTGGATGAGTGGGTGGGTGGGTGGATGAGTGGGTGGGTGAGTGAGTGAGTGAGAGGGTGAGTGGGTGAGTGAGTGGATGAGTGGGTGAATGGATGAGTGGGTGAGTGGGTGGGTGAGTGGATGGATGAGTGGATGAGTGGGTGGGTGGGTGGATGAGTGGGTGGGTGGGTGGATGAGTGGGTGGGTGAGTGAGTGAGTGAGAGGGTGAGTGGGTGAGTGAGTGGATGAGTGGGTGAGTGGATGAGTGGGTGAGTCGGTGAGTGGGTGGGTGAGTGGGTGGGTGAGTGGATGGATGAGTGGGTGAGTGGATGGGTGAGTGGATGGGTGAGTGAGTGGGTGAGTGGGTGGGTGAGTGGATGGATGAGTGGGTGAGTGGATGGGTGAGTGGATGAGTGGGTGAGTGGATGGGTGAGTGGATGAGTGGGTGAGTGGATGAGTGGGTGAGTGGATGGATGAGTGAATGAATGGGTGAGTGTTGTTGTCCTTCCCTCACACCTCCGATTAGTGCGGTTGGCTACGTATGGTGCCCAAGAAGTTCAACGTACACACTACCGCTATACACTACACTATATACTACACTATACTGCTATAGTAATATACACTACACTACTGTACACTACACTATACACTACTACACACTACACATACTACCGCTATGCACTACACTATACTCTCCACTACACTATACACTACACTATATACACTATACTATTGACTACACTATATTACTATACACCACTATACACTACATTATATTACTATACACTACACACTACACTATGCTATATTACTATACACTACACTATACACTACACTATATACTACACTATATTACTACACTATACATTACTATACACTACACTATACATTACTATACACTATATTACTATACACTACTATAGACTACACTATAAATTACTATACACTACACTATATTACTATACACTACACTATATTACTATACACTACACTATATTACTATACACTACTACACACTGCATTACTATACACTACACTATACACTGCACTATATTACTAAACACTACACTATACGCTACACTATATTACTATACACTACACTATATTACTATACACTACACTATACACTACACTATATACATTATTTTACTACACTATATTACTATACACTACACTATATTACTATACACTACTACACACTGCATTACTATACACTACACTATACATCGCTATACACTACACTATATTATTATACACTACACTACTGTACACTACACTATACACTACACAGGCATGTACGTAGTGTTGCTTTGTTGTTGTTGCTGCTCAGCGAGTTTACCCTCACGTTTGTCTTGCAGTTCTGGGACAGCAGAATGCCGCACTCCGTAAGGTACGCACTCCGTTAAGTACTCGCTGGGTTAGGTACTCACTCCGTAAGGTACGCACTCCGTTAAGTACTCGCTGGGTTAGGTACTCACTCCGTTAAGTACTCGCTCCGTAAGGTACTCACTCCGTATGGTACTCACTCCGTTAAGTACTCGCTGGGTTAGGTACTCACTCCGTAAGGTACGCACTCCGTTAAGTACTCACTCCGTAAGGTACGCACTCCGTTAAGTACTCGCTGGGTTAGGTACTCACTCCGTAAGGTACGCACTCCGTAAGGTACTCACTCCGTAAGGTACGCACTCCGTTAAGTACTCACTCCGTAAGGTACGCACTCCGTTAAGTACTCGCTGGGTTAGGTACTCACTCCGTAAGGTACACACTCCGTTAAGTACTCGCTCCGTAAGGTACGCACTCCGTAAGGTACGCACTCCGTTAGGTATTCACTCCGTTAAGTACTCGCTCCGTAAGGTACTCGCTCCGTAAGGTACGCACTCCGTTAAGTACTCGCTGGGTTAGGTACTCACTCCGTTAGGTACGCACTCCGTAAGGTACTCACTCCGTAAGGTACGCACTCCGTTAAGTACTCACTCCGTAAGGTACGCACTCCGTTAAGTACTCACTCCGTAAGGTACGCATTCCGTTAAGTACTCACTCCGTAAGGTACGCACTCCGTTAAGTACTCGCTGGGTTAGGTACTCACTCCGTAAGGTACACACTCCGTTAAGTACTCGCTCCGTAAGGTACGCACTCCGTTAAGTACTCGCTGGGTTAGGTACTCACTCCGTTAGGTACGCACTCCGTAAGGTACTCACTCCGTTAAGTACTCACTCCGTAAGGTACGCACTCCGTTAAGTACTCACTCCGTAAGGTACGCACTTCGTTAAGTACTCACTCCGTAAGGTACGCACTCCGTTAAGTACTCACTCCGTAAGGTACGCACTCCGTTAAGTACTCGCTGGGTTAGGTACTCACTCCGTAAGGTACACACTCCGTTAAGTACTCGCTGGGTTAGGTACTCACTCCGTAAGGTACGCACTCTGTTAAGTACTCGCTACGTTAGGTACTCACTCCGTAAGGTACTCACTCCGTTAAGTACTCGCTGGGTTAGGTACGCACTCCGTAAGGTACGCACTCCGTTAAGTACTCACTCCGTTAGGTACTCACTCCGTAAGGTACGCACTCTGTTAAGTACTCGCTACGTTAGGTACTCACTCCGTAAGGTACGCACTCCGTTAAGTACTCGCTGGGTTAGGTACGCACTCCGTAAGGTACGCACTCCGTTAAGTACTCGCTCTGTAAGGTATTCACTCCGTAAGGTACGCACTCCGTTAAGTACTCACTCCGTTAAGTACTCGCTACGTTAGGTACTCACTCCGTAAGGTACGCACTCCGTTAAGTACTCGCTGGGTTAGGTACTCACTCCGTTAAGTACTCGCTACGTTAGGTACTCACTCCGTAAGGTACGCACTCCGTTAAGTACTCGCTGGGTTAGGTACGCACTCCGTTAAGTGCTCGCTATGTTAGGTACTCACTCCGTTAAGTACTCACTCCGTTAGGTACTCACTCCGTAAGGTACGCACTCTGTTAAGTACTCACTCCGTTAAGTACTCACTCAGTTAAGTACTCACTCCGTAAGGTACGCACTCCGTTAAGTACTCGCTACGTGAGGTACTCACTCCGTTAAGTACTCACTCCGTTAAGTACTCACTCCGTTAAGTACTCGCTCCGTTAGGTACTCACTCCGTTAGGTACTCACTCCATTAGGAACTCGCTCTGTTAGGTACTCGCTCCGTTAAATACTCGCTCTGTTAAGTACTCACTCCGTTAAGTACTCACTCCGTTAAGTACTCACTCAGTTAAGTACTCGCTCTGTTAAGTACTCGCTCTGTTAAGTACTCACTCTGTTAAGTACTCACTCCGTTAAGTACTCACTCTGTTAAGTACTCACTCCGTTAAGTACTCACTCTGTTAAGTACTCACTCCATTAAGTACTCACTCTGTTAAGTACTCACTCCATTAAGTACTCACTCTGTTAAGTACTCACTCCGTTAAGTACTCACTCTGTTAAGTACGCACTCCGTTAAGTACTCACTCCGTTAAGTACTCGCTCCGTTAAGTACTCGCTCCGTGAGGTAGTCACTCCGTTAGGTACTCACTCCATTAGGTACTTGCTCTGTTAAGTACTCGTTCCGTTAAGTACTCGCTCCGTTAAGTACTCACTCCATTAGGTACTTGCTCTGTTAAGTACTCGCTCCGTTAAGTACTCACTCCGTTAAGTACTCGCTCCGTTAAGTACTCGCTCCGTGAGGTAGTCACTCCGTTAGGTACTCACTCCATTAGGTACTTGCTCTGTTAAGTACTCGCTCCGTTAAGTACTCGCTCCGTTAAGTACTCGCTTCGTTAGGTACTCACTCTGTTAGGTCCTCACTCTGTTAGGTACGCACTCCGTTAAGTACTCACTACGTGAGGTATGCACTCCGTTAAGTACTCACTCCGTGAAGTACTCACTCCGTTAAGTACTCACTCCGTGAGGTACTCACTCCGTTAAGTACTCACTCCGTTAGGTACTCGCTCCGTTAAGTACTCGCTCCGTTAAGTACTTGCTAAGTACTCACTCCGTTAAGTACTCGCTACGTTAGGTACGCACTCCGTTAAATACTCGCTCTGTTAAGTACTCACTCTGTGAGGTACGCACTCCGTTAAGTACTCACTCTGTTAAGTACTCGCTAAGTTAAGTACTCGCTCCGTTAAGTACTCACTCCGTTAGGTACTCACTCTGTTAAGTACTCGCTAAGTTAAGTACTCGCTCCGTTAAGTACTCACTCCGTTAGGTACTCACTCTGTTAAGTACTCGCTCCGTGAGGTAGTCACTCCGTTAGGTACTCACTCCATTAGGTACTTGCTCTGTTAAGTACTCGCTCCGTTAAATACTCGCTCTGTGAAGTACTCACTCCGTTAAGTACTCGCTACGTTAGGTACTCGCTCCGTTAAGTACTCACTCCGTTAGGTACTCACTCCGTTAGGTACTCGCTCCGTGAAGTACTCGCTCCGTTAAGTACTCGCTCCGTTAGGTACTCGCTCCGTTAAGTACTCGCTCCGTTAAGTACTTGCTAAGTACTCACTCCGTTAAGTACTCGCTACGTTAGGTACTCGCTCCGTTAGGTACTCACTCTGTTAAGTACTCGCTCCGTTAAGTACTTGCTAAGTACTCACTCCGTTAGGTACTCACTCCGTTAGGTACTCGCTCCGTTAAGTACTCACTCCGTTAGGTACTCGCTACGTTAGGTACTCACTCCGTTAGGTACTCGCTCCGTTAAATACTCGCTCTGTTAAGTACTCACTCCGTTAAGTACTTGCTAAGTACTCACTCCGTTAAGTACTCGCTACGTTAGGTACTCACTCCGTTAGGTACTCACTCTGTTAAGTACTCACTCCGTGAGGTACTCGCTCCGTGAGGTACTCGCTCCGTTAAGTACTTGCTAAGTACTCACTCCGTTAAGTACTCGCTACGTTAGGTACGCACTCCGTTAAATACTCGCTCTGTTAAGTACTCACTCTGTGAGGTACGCACTCCGTTAAGTACTCACTCTGTTAAGTACTCGCTAAGTTAAGTACTCGCTCCGTTAAGTACTCACTCCGTTAGGTACTCACTCTGTTAAGTACTCGCTAAGTTAAGTACTCGCTCCGTTAAGTACTCACTCCGTTAGGTACTCACTCTGTTAAGTACTCGCTCCGTGAGGTAGTCACTCCGTTAGGTACTCACTCCATTAGGTACTTGCTCTGTTAAGTACTCGCTCCGTTAAGTACTCGCTCCGTTAAGTACTCGCTCCGTTAGGTACTCGCTCCGTTAAGTACTCGCTCCGTTAAGTACTTGCTAAGTACTCACTCCGTTAAGTACTCGCTACGTTAGGTACTCGCTCCGTGAAGTACTCGCTACGTTAGGTACTCACTCCGTTAGGTACTCACTCCATTAAATACTCGCTCTGTTAAGTACTCACTCCGTTAAGTACTTGCTAAGTACTCACTCCGTTAAGTACTCGCTACGTTAGGTACTCACTCCGTTAGGTACTCACTCTGTTAAGTACTCACTCCGTGAGGTACTCGCTCCGTGAGGTACTCGCTCCGTTAAGTACTCGCTCCGTTAGGTACTCACTCCGTTAAGTACTCGCTCCGTTAAGTACTCGCTCCGTTAGGTACTCACTCCGTTAGGTACTCGCTCCGTTAGGTACTCACTCCGTTAAGTACTCGCTCCGTTAAGTACTTGCTAAGTACTCACTCCGTTAAGTACTCGCTCCGTTAGGTACTCACTCCGTTAGGTACTCACTCCGTTAAGTACTCGCTCCGTTAAGTACTTGCTAAGTACTCACTCCGTTAAGTACTCGCTACGTTAAGTACTCGCTACGTTAGGTACTCACTCCGTTAAGTACTCGCTCCGTTAAGTACTTGCTAAGTACTCACTCCGTTAAGTACTCGCTCCGTTAGGTACTCACTCCGTTAGGTACTCACTCCGTTAAGTACTCGCTCCGTTAAGTACTTGCTAAGTACTCACTCCGTTAAGTACTCGCTACGTTAAGTACTCACTCCGTTAGGTACTCACTCCGTTAGGTACTCACTCCGTGAGGTACTCGCTCCGTTAAGTACTCGCTCCGTTAGGTACTCACTCCGTTAGGTACTCGCTCCGTTAAGTACTCGCTCCGTTAGGTACTCACTCCGTTAGGTACTCGCTCCGTTAAGTACTCACTCTGTTAAGTACTTGCTAAGTACTCACTCCGTTAGGTACTCGCTCCGTTAAGTACTCACTCTGTTAGGTACTCGCTCTGTTAGGTACTCGCTCTGTTAGGTACTCACTCTGTTAGGTACTCGCTCTGTTAGGTACTCGCTCTGTTAGGTACTCACTCTGTTAGGTACTCGCTCTGTTAGGTACTCACTCTGTTAGGTACTCGCTCCGTTAGGTACTCACTCTGTTAGGTACTCGCTCCGTTAAGTACTCGCTCCGTTAAGTACTTGCTAAGTACTCACTCCGTTAAGTACTCGCTACGTTAAGTACTCACTCCGTTAGGTACTCACTCCGTTAGGTACTCACTCCGTGAGGTACTCGCTCCGTTAAGTACTCGCTCCGTTAGGTACTCACTCCGTTAGGTACTCGCTCCGTTAAGTACTCGCTCCGTTAGGTACTCACTCCGTTAGGTACTCGCTCCGTTAAGTACTCACTCTGTTAAGTACTTGCTAAGTACTCACTCCGTTAGGTACTCGCTCCGTTAAGTACTCACTCTGTTAGGTACTCGCTCTGTTAGGTACTCGCTCTGTTAGGTACTCACTCTGTTAGGTACTCGCTCTGTTAGGTACTCACTCTGTTAGGTACTCGCTCTGTTAGGTACTCACTCTGTTAGGTACTCGCTCCGTTAGGTACTCACTCTGTTAGGTACTCGCTCCGTTAAGTACTCGCTCCGTTAAGTACTCACTCCGTTAGGTACTCACTCCGTTAGGTACTCGCTCCGTTAAGTACTCGCTCCGTTAAGTACTCACTCCGTTAGGTACTCACTCCGTTAGGTACTCACTCCGTTAGGTACTCGCTCCGTTAGGTACTCGCTCCGTTAAATACTCACTCCGTTAGGTACTCACTCCGTTAGGTACTCGCTCCGTTAAGTACTCACTCCGTTAGGTACTCACTCCGTTAGGTACTCGCTCCGTTAGGTACTCGCTCCGTTAAGTACTCGCTCCGTTAAGTACTCACTCCGTTAGGTACTCACTCCGTTAGGTACTCACTCCGTTAGGTACTCGCTCCGTTAGGTACTCGCTCTGTTAGGTACTCGCTCCGTTAAATACTCACTCCGTTAGGTACTCACTCCGTTAGGTACTCGCTCCGTTAGGTACTCGCTCTGTTAGGTACTCGCTACGTTAGGTACTCACTCTGTTAGGTACTCACCCCGTGAGGTACTCGCTCCGTGAGGTACTCGCTCCGTGAGGTACTCACCCCGCGAGGATTCCCGCCCACAGCCACCACCGCTGCAGTGGTGACAGCAGCAGCAGTGATCTGAAGTAGCAGTACCTGGACCACCTGGTGCAGTGGTGGTGGTGTAGTGACCTGTAGTGGAGTCAACATCGCCACTGGGGAGACAAAGGCGGCCGGGCGTGGTGGTGCTGGCCATTAACCCCCTCTGTGTGTAGCCACGGTGCCGGTAGCATTCATAGGCGCTCGCTAGCAGCACTTGCCCCTACAGCCCTGCTAGAGGCTACCTGGGGGAGCTTTGTCTTTGTGTATACATGATAGGTGGTGCTGCACTTGCCCCTACAGCCCTGCTAGTGGCTACCTGGGGGAGCTTTATCTGTGTGTGCATCATAGGTGGTGCTACTCGCCACTAGCAGCACTTGCCCCTGCAGCCCTGCTAGAGGCTACCTGGGAGAGCTTTGTCTGTGTGTGTGCATCATAGGTGGTGCTACTCGCCACTAGCAGCACTTGCCCCTACAGCCCTGCTAGAGGCTACCTGGGGGAGCTTTGTCTTTGTGTGTGCATCATAGGTGGTGCTACTCGCCACTAGCAGCACTTGCCCCTACAGCCCTGCTAGAGGCTACCTGGGGGAGCTTTGTCTTTGTGTGTGCATCATAGGTGGTGCTGCACTTGCCCCTACAGCCCTGCTAGAGGCTACCTGGGGGAGCTTTGTCTTTGTGTGTGCATCATAGGTGGTGCTGCACTTGCCCCTACAGCCCTGCTAGAGGCTACCTGGGGGAGCTTTGTCTGTGTGTGTGCATCATAGGTGGTGCTACTCGCCACTAGCAGCACTTGCCCCTACAGCCCTGCTAGAGGCTACCTGGGGAAGCTTTGTCTTTGTGTGTGCATCATAGGTGGTGCTGCACTTGCCCCTACAGCCCTGCTAGAGGCTACCTGGGGTAGCTTTGTCTTTGTGTGTGCATCATAGGTGGTGCTGCACTTGCCCCTACAGCCCTGCTAGAGGCTACCTGGGGGAGCTTTGTCTTTGTGTGTGCATCATAGGTGGTGCTGCACTTGCCCCTACAGCCCTGCTAGAGGCTACCTGGGGGAGCTTTGTCTTTGTGTGTGCATCATAGGTGGTGCTGCACTTGCCCCTACAGCCCTGCTAGAGGCTACCTGGGGGAGCTTTGTCTGTGTGTGTGCATGATAGGTGGTGCTGCACTTGCCCCTACAGCCCTGCTAGAGGCTACCTGGGGGAGCTTTGTCTTTGTGTGTGCATCATAGGTGGTGCTGCACTTGCCCCTACAGCCCTGCTAGAGGCTACCTGGGGGAGCTTTGTCTGTGTGTGTGCATCATAGGTGGTGCTGCACTTGCCCCTACAGCCCTGCTAGAGGCTACCTGGGGGAGCTTTGTCTTTGTGTGTACATGATAGGTGGTGCTGCACTTGCCCCTACAGCCCTGCTAGAGGCTACCTGGGGGAGCTTTGTCTGTGTGTGTGCATCATAGGTGGTGCTGCACTTGCCCCTACAGCCCTGCTAGAGGCTACCTGGGGGAGCTTTGTCTGTGTGTGTGTACATGATAGGTGGTGCTGCACTTGCCCCTACAGCCCTGCTAGAGGCTACCTGGGGGATCTTTGTCTCTGTAGGAGCCTTTACGGCCCTCACATCTGTGGCGAGGCGCTCCACTTCGACTCCAGCGGCTCCACGATCCTCAGCGGCTCCTGGAGGAAGAGGCAGGCGCTACAGGTAAGTCTCGCACACAGACAAAGCTGCCCCAGGTAGCCTCCAGCAGGGCTGCAGGGGCAAGTGCTGCTAGTAGCGAGTAGCACCACCTATGATGTACACACACAGACAAAGCTCCCCCAGGTAGCCTCTAGCAGGGCTGTAGGGGCAAGTGCTGCTAGTGGCGAGTAGCACCACCTATGATGCACACACAAAGTAGTGAAGTGTGTAGTAGTGTAGTGTATAGTAGTGTATAGTGCAGTGTATAGTGTAGTGTGTAGTAGTGTATAGTGTAGTGTATAGTAGTGTAGTGTATAGTAGTGTAGTGTATAGTAGTGTAGTGTGTAGTGCAGTGTATAGTGTAGTGTGTAGTAGTGTATAGTGTAGTGTATAGTAGTGTAGTGTATAGTAGTGTAGTGTATAGTAGTGTAGTGTGTAGTGCAGTGTATAGTGTAGTGTGTAGTAGTGTATAGTGTAGTGTATAGTAGTGTAGTGTATAGTAGTGTAGTGTATAGTAGTGTAGTGTGTAGTGCAGTGTATAGTGTGTAGTAGTGTAGTGTATAGTGTGTAGTAGTGTAGTGTATAGTGTAGTGTATAGTAGTGTATAGTGTGTAGTAGTGTAGTGTATAGTAGTGTAGTGTATAGTAGTGTAGTAGTGTAGTGTAATGGTATAGTGTGTAGTAATGTACTGGAAGTATTGTAAAGTGTAGTGTATAGTTTATTCTATATTAGTGTAGAGTATATAGTGTAGTGTATAGCATAGTACGTAGCGTATAGTGTAGTGTGCAGTATATAGTGTTTATACAGTTTCATTGATTAGGTATAACCCTGTGAGCCATGCCACTCTTGCTAGGGTGCCACCGCGACGAGAACATGAACAAGACACATCTTAAAGTGACGAAACGCAGCATAAAAATGCAGGAAAGAGCAGCTAAAGTCTTCCAGGAAAAAAAGCGCCGCGTTTGAACGCTGCGTGGAAAAAAATCCCAGCGGGATGCCAGTCGGACAATAACAACCACAGGACAATTTAGATGAAAGCTATCAGGCTAACTCTGTACTACAACAGACAAACATGGCTCAGCCAAAGCGTTTTCAAAATCACCAAAACAAAGCTAGTTTAGTGTACAGTGTAGTGTGTAGTAGTGTAGTGTGTAGTGTATAGTAGTGTAGTGTGTAGTGTCTAGTAGTGGTGTATAGTAGTGTAGTGTGTAGTGTAGTGTATAGTAGTGTAGTGTGTAGTAGTGTAGTGTGTAGTAGTGTAGTGTATAGTAGTGTAGTGTGTAGTAGTGTAGTGTGTAGTAGTGTAGTGTATAGTAGTGTAGTAGTGTAGTGTACAGTAGTGTAGTGTGTAGTGTACAGTAGTGTAGTGTGTAGTGTATAGTAGTGTGGTGTGTATAGTAGTGTAGTGTATAGTAGTGTAGTGTATAGTAGTGTAGTGCATAGTAGTGTAGTGTGTAGTGTATAGTAGTGTAGTGTATAGTAATGTATAGTAGTGTAGTGTATAGTAGTGTAGTGTGCAGTGAGGGAAAAAAGTATTTAATCCCCTGCTGATTTTGTATGTTTGCCCACTGACAAAGAAATGATCAGTCTATAATTTTAATGGTAGGTTTATTTGAACAGTGAGAAACAGAATAACAACAATCCAGAAAAACGCATGTCTAAATTTTTATAAATTGATTTGCATTTTAATGAGGGAAATAAGTATTTGACTCCCTCTCAATAAGAAAGATTTCTGTCTCCCAGGTGTCTTTTATACAGGTAACGAGCTGAGATTAGGAGCACACTCTTAAAGGGAGTGCTCCTAATCTCAGCTTGTTACCTGTATAAACAACAACAACCGCCATTCGCCACTAAGTGACGGTGACGTCACCACGACGCTTGTGCCAGGCTATGTGCACCGTGAGGCCACGTGAAGTGTCGAACGCCTGCTGGCAGGAGGTCACTGGGCAGACCCAGGTGCCACGGGTCGACTGACTGAGATGACTGGCTGATGCACCACCTGTGCCCCCTACTGTGCCAACCTGCTGTGCTTTAGCCACCCGGCGCTCCGCTCGTTGTTCTGAGCGTCGCTCCTCCGCCCTCCGTTGTTGTTGGAGGGCGACTGCCTCCAACTGCCCAGTAGCATCCTTCACGAGCCTCCTCCACAGAGGCCGATCTTGACACCGCTGGTACCAGTCATCGGCAAGTCCACTCAGCTCCACGTCCTCCTGTACCACATCACTCCATCTCTTCTCTAGCCCGTGCCGCGCCCGCTTAGCCCCCTCAATCCGGCCAAACAAAAGCTGTTTCGGCATGCGGTGGCTGGGCATGCGGGCTACATGACCCAGCCATCGCAGCCTTGCCTGCCGGAGGAGCTCACCGATGGGACCCTGCCCAGATCTTTCAAGGATTTGTGAGCTCCTCACACAATCCAGTCTGGTTAAACCCAGGATGGATCGTAGGCAGGCCAGCCTAAATGTTTCTAACCGGCGAAGATGTTCCATTAGGGGGGTCCACGTTTCGCAAGCGTAGAGAAGGGAGGGAATGACCGTGGCCGAGAAGACCTGAAGCTTAGTGCGGAGCGACAGACCAGGTAGCTTCCACACAGCGTTACGCAACCGATGAAAAGATATTGCCGCTCGACTGATTCGGAGTGAGACCTCTGCTGTTAAACTGGAGCCAGTCATAAGCACACTGCCCAGGTATGGGAAACTCTCCACTCTCTCCACAACTGCCCCATCACCGATTGGGAGTTGTGGGGGTGGAGTGTCCGATGGTACAAAATACCCAGGCAGGTGCTTAGTTTTGGTGGGGCTGATGGTAAGGCCCCACCTCTTAGTGGCACGCTCCAGTCTCAGCAGCAGCGTCTCCAACTCCTCCTCTGACTGAGCAGCTATTACCAAATCATCAGCATACATAACGTGGTTGAGCAATAGGGAGCCATCCCTTGACCGCACCCGGGCATCGATTAGCCTCCCATTATATCTGTACCATATGGAGATTCCCCCGGTACAGCTATTGAAGGCTTTATGAACTACGTGGTCAAAATAGATGTTAAATAATGTGGGAGCCAGAGGACATCCCTGTAGCACCCCAAGGTGTACAGGGAATGGCTCTGACTCCCGGCCACGTAGTTTTACCCGCGCCCGCTCACCATCATGAAGGTCCTTAATGATCGTGAGCAGAGGGTCAGGTACTCCAAAAGCACGAAGAACGACCCAGAGCCCAGGCCTACTGATGGTCTCATAGGCCTTGACCAGGTCAATAAAGCAGAGATGTAGGTCTTGTTGGAATTCCCTACACCTCTGCTGTAGCAGACGGACAGAAAATATGGCATCTGTGCAGGACCGCCCTTTCCTGAAACCGCATTGGGGCTTCCGCAAGCCTCTCCTCAGCGTGCCTGGCAAGGCGATGCTGAATAATCCTTGCCAGGACCTTTCCCGGCACACTGAGGAGTGAGATGCCCCTGTAGTTGTTACAGTCTGTGCGGTCCCCCTTCTTAAAAAGGAGGACCACCAGGGCATCCTTCCAATCCTGCGGAACCCGTCCAGTGGTCCAGACTGTTGTTATGATGTCATATAGGGCAGTCTGTGCACAAACGCCACCCTCCCTCAGCATTTCGCTTGGGAGATCATCTCTGCCCGCTGCCTTTCCTCGTCTCAGACTCCGGATCGCCTTCAATACTTCCTCAGCAGATGGCACCTCAGCCAGCCACTCACAGGGGGTGACTTCTTCCAATATTTGAGGCACCGCAGCCTCAGCAGGGTCATCCTCACTTTGTGCCACGATGTTTTCCTGGCTGAGGGATTTTCCCTCCCCCAAGACCTCACAGAAATGCTCAGCAAATCTGCGAACCTGTTCCTGGGGGTCGGAGATTGGATCACCGTTTTTTCCCCTAATGATGGTAATAGGTGTGGTGCTGCAGGTTACTTTTTTGATGGAGTTAAATAGAGATTTGTGATCACGGGCCACTGAGGCAGACTCCATCTCCTCAGCAACCCGCGACCACCACCCATCCTTGCAGCGCCTCACGGCTCTCCGAACCTCCGAGCGAAGGCTGCGTTAAGCCTCCTCATTCTCTGACGTGGGATTCTGTAGCCGATGACAGTGGGCCTGTCGCTTTTTCTCAACCATCCTGAACACCTCCTCTGTCAGCCAGGGTCTCTGGGGAGGTCTGGACCGCGTACCCAAAGCAGCCATTGCAGCTGCATGAGTCACAGTCCTAAACCTCGCCCATTTACCCTCGACATCAGGAGGAGTCGGGGACGATGCCAATCCCAGCCGCAAGCGATGATGAAATTCTCGCTTGCAACTTTCATCAGATAACTGAGACCAGGCCACTTTATGTTGGAATGGGGTCCTGGGTGTACACCCACCACCGGAGTGGAAGAATGGCAGGCGCATCTTACAGATGACTAGTCGATGGTCAGAGGGCAGATCAGCTCCACGGTAGGTCCTGGTGTCAAGGACATGGGCTCGCATTCGCTGGTCCGTCACTATGTAGTCCAGCAGATGTTCTTGCTTGGACCCGGCATGCATCCATGATGTTGTGTGGATGCTCCGATGCCGGAACAGCGTGTTGGTAATTACAAGCCCATGGGCTGCACAAAAATCTAGCAGCCTCCTACCGTTGTTATTGAGCTGATCTGGCCCATGCCCTCCAATCACTCCAGACCAGGTGCCAGTATCATGACCAACTCGGGCATTGAAGTCACCCAACATGATGACTCTATCCCGAGGGGCCACTTTAGCCAGCACCTGTGACAGGAGGTCATAGAAGGCATCTGACTCATCGGCTTTGCCTGCATCCCTCCACGGATGTTCATCTTCGGTGGGGGCATAAGTAACCACGACCACCATTCCTCGCCTCCGGTTGATGGGAAGGCGAGCCCAAAGTAGCCTGGGGCTTACAGCTTCCCACACCTCACCGCCACGCTCCCACGCCCCCTTCATTCTTTTGTTCAAAAGAAGACCCACACCCTGTTGTTTGGCAGTCTGCTGCCCCGAGTAGAGACTGTCCACCCCTCATGGTGGCAGGAGCCAGAGCCGGTCCACCGGACCTCCTGAATGCCGCATAGATCCAGGCGGTACCGGTCCAGCTCCCGACAGAGGAGTG